CTTCCCAATTCGGAAGGTTGTAAAAGAATGCGAACAATTAGTTTTACTTTTAGTACAAAATTAAAAAGGAAAGTACCTTTTAAAGAAGATGATCAAAGTACCTTTCATACTCATCTCAAGATTATATATGCCACCCGCCGAGATAGATGTTTTCATAAATGTGCCTAGCGAGTCACCATCATCTGTATCTGAAGATTTTGAAGGAAACAAATAAGATCATAGTTGGAATTGATCTGTAAGTATGTAAATAAGAGATTGCTAGAGCTCAATTACCTTCTTTGTATGCGGATGTTTGGGTTCGTAGCATAAATCTTGGCCCACTCTCCATTGCCTTCCTCGTATTGCTCTGCAAGTCTCCGACATCTGCCAATCTCAAGAGTCTGCAGTGGTGTTTTGAAGAGGAAGTCTAGTAGTGCTTTTAGCATTCCGCACCTCTCAATTCTTAACTCAGAAAGGCATGGCATGATTGTAATTTCAGAATCCTCTTTCGTCCACTCTTCCACGCCTTCCCACTCTTCCCAATTCGGGAGGTCGTAAAATAATGCGAACAATTAGTTTTACTTTTAGTACAAAATTAAAAAGGAAAGTACCTTTTAAAGAAGATGATCAAAGTACCTTTCATACTCATCTCAAGATTATATATGCCACCCGCCGAGATAGATGTTTTCATAAATGTGCCTAGCGAGTCACCATCATCTGTATCTGAAGATTTTGAAGGAAACAAATAAGATCATAGTTGGAATTGATACACAAGTATGTAAATAAGAGATTGCTAGAGCTCAATTACCTTCTTTTTATGCTGATGTTTGGGATCGTAGCAGAAATCTTGGCCCACTCTCCATTGCCTTCTTCGTAACGCTCTGAAAGTCTGTCAGATCCGTAGATCTCAAGAGTCTGCAATGGTGTTTTGAAGAGGAAGTCTGGCAGTGCTTTTAGCGAATTGCAGTATTCAATTTCTAACTCAGAAAGGCATGGCATGATTGTAATTTCAGAAGCCTCTTTCGTCCACTCTTCCACGCCTTCCCACTCTTCCCAATTCGACATCCTGTAAAAGTGGAGTCGTTTCAATTTTGGGAATAATATCAGGGGTGGTGATCTGATTCTGAATGAGGGTTGATCTTCTAATCCCAAAAATTCAACACCGACCTTTCTCACTCCATCCATCGATGATAGGGTCAGTGTTTCAAGGGACTCCAATTTCCCAAGAGGCCAAAGTTCACACTGTGTCTCGCTACCAACACTAAGGAATCTCAAATTGTGTAAAGACAGCATCCAATTGGGCCACGTGGTGCCATTATAATCCCGAATATTTAAAGATTCCAAATCTGGGTGCGGTCGTAAGGCATTCAGTATTTCTACACTACTACTACTACTGTTCGTCCACTTTCAAAATCAACGGTGAGATGAAATAGCTTTTTGTCCCACAATTGTGATTTCTCAACCTCGCTCTTATCTGTCGCATCCCCCACAAGTTGTATTTCCGGACGTCCCTCAAGGTTCAACTTTCTCAGATCCCCAATTTGGAATGCTTCATCGTTGTCACCACCACACTGACACACATCTACTGTTTGTAAACTTGTTAATCTCCCTATCCCTTTGGGCAACGACTTCAGATTGTTACAGTAATCAACATAAATATGCTTTAAGTTAATCAAGTTTCCCATGTTTTGAGGCAGTGTTTCAAGTTTAGAGCAATCATTAAAGCGCAAGGTAGACAAATTGTACAAACCACAAATAGTATCCGGTAATTTCTCCAAAACATCATTGTAAGACAAATCAATATGCCTTAAATGTATCAATTCACCAATCTTCTCTGGGAGTTCTTTGATGGAATAACCACTCAAATTTAATGTCCTAAGACATTTTAATTGTGAAATTAAATTTGGGTCCACTGTAGTAATTCTTGAATCAAAAGTTGCGAGCGTGCGAAGATTTTTGCAATTGTAAGATGAGATAGAAAGTGGAAGTGGACCTTCAGGAACATATCTCAAGGTCAAATGACGAACCTTATCACCCAATATCTTTGATTCATTGGTAGTTTCCTCATTATAATCGTTAATCAAACACTCATTCCTGGTGAGAAATTGTACAAAGTCATGCACAATATCATGCATTTTGCAACTTGTAATTGTACCAGTGTCAGAATCTTTCTCAAAATCTTGAAAAAAAGACTGTGCCACTAAGTTGTCAAAAACTGCATCACCAGTTGTTCCCTTTTCTTTATGTCCTTTCGAAATAACATAGTCTTGTGCCATCCAAAGCTTAATCAAATCATCTCGGTCAAACTCGTAATCTTCAGGAAAAGTGGCACAATATAAAAGGCAAGATTTAATTGTTGGGGACAAATCATAATAACTTAGGAATAAGGGTTGGAAAACTTCTTGCTCGACCTTCCCTAGATCCCATATCTTACTATTCAATACCTCTTTCCATTCTCTCATTGTTCTCTTATTCTGCATGAGACTACCTAAAGTCTTTGCAGCAAGAGGCAAACCCTTACACTTCCTTACAAATTTCTTACTAATATCTCCAAATGCCTTAGACTCATCTACATCCCCATTAGGAAAGGCCATATGATTGAAGATTGCCAAACAATATTCATCGCTCAACCCTTCCAGATTGATCATGTTTGGTGTTGCTCTCATCATATTAGCAACCTCTAGTTTTCTTGTGGTGACCAATATTCTGCTGCCTTTAGCACCACTTTGGATTAATGGTACCTTTAATTGTTCCCACTTTTTAGGATCATCGGTCCATACATCATCCAAGACAAGGAGAAACTTTTTGCCCTGGATGGATCTAGACATACATTGCAAGACCTCATCCAATTCATTTGAACTTGGGGCGTAATCGCCACTAATGGCTTTGGCAATCTTAATGACATATTGACATAAGATGCAGTTTGAGGTCGTTGAGGTTGTTGAGGTTGTTGAATGCCTAATTCTTTGCGTAGAAACTGGTACTTTTTTCTTTCCTCATAAATCTCAGTTAACTTATCATTCAGATCTTTTATTTTCAGAGCAATGTCAAGGCGAAGAATCACCCGACTGACTTTGCCAAAACAAAAGCAACGGGAGAAACTAGAGAAACGTACCTTCTTCTTTGTAACAAGAGCATTTGGATCACCTTCGCTTTCTTGCTTCTCAACTTGTTGTTTGAGAATATCTGTGTTCCACTCATCCAGCACATCCACCATCTGGTAGGATATATCTTTGAGCTCATCCAACCAGATTTTGACAGCTTGATCCGTCACTTGGCGTTGCTCTGCATCCTCAAGCACAGCTCGAATAACTTGGAGAGTCCGAGTGAATTTCTCAACATCTTCCTTAACGTTCAAAGCAAGTTTCACCCCTTCTTCTATGTATTCATAGGTTGTCGAGGCCAACCGTTCTAGCAGCATGGAAATGAGCGCATCAGCCATTATTTTGAGCTTTAGAAAATGGTTGGCAGCAGTGTTTATGAACAAGAACTGATTGCAGGATGATTGTTTGTGTTGTGGTGTTCCCTTTCTTCTGCCCAGTTATATGCTGAGTAAGTCTTCAAGGCAAACTCCAAGTCAATTTTAAGATGCATTACAGGGACACTATATTTTAAAGTGACAAGTGTTGACATTATTAGAAAAGAGATACCTAATCTGGGGCTGGTGAGTGTGCCAGACTGTCTTTCTTGACCTTACCATACAAGACAAGATTAACGCCTTGTTGACCTTTCTAGCTTATTTGGTTATGCCAACTTTTAAATCAAGTTTATGTTTATTGTTGTCTAGGGAGATGGTGGGGAATTAAGTTTAGGTTAACGATCCCTTTTAATGTAACAAAAAAAGATAGGTCTTAGATGAATCAAGATATATATTTCTCAGCTGTGATGATTAAGATAGAGGGGACATAAGAAATTAGCAAAATTTGTGCTTGTCCAGTTACAGAGAGAGCCTAACATAATCACACTTTTAGGCTCCCAAGAAATTAGCAAAAGTGTGTCTAAAACAACAACCGCAATCATTTGCTTCTTGCAACCATTTCTCTCAGACATTTTTCGATTCGGGAATTAAATTTTGAGTGCTGCTATTTTCACCCCGTGTCTTATTTTCCCACCTACCTTATCTTCCCACCCACCATGTAAATTTGAAAAAAAATAAAATCTTATCTTTCCACCCACCATTATTCCTAAAACACCCTTAAATTATTAAAATAAACTAATAATAAAATAACATTTAAAAAAATAAAAAATAAAAACAAAAACCCTCTCTCCCCCCTTCCCGACGCAACCCCACCCCCTCAGCAACACTACACTAGCCACCAGCCCCTCCCCCACCTCTTCACACTCCTCCACCATGGCTTGAGCAAAATTCCCAAAAATACTTAGTTATTTGTGCAGAGCTTCTTCAACCTCTACGCGAAATTGCGGTTGAGGGTCAGAGTTGCAAGACGAAGCCATGATTAATACCAAAAAAAGCGAATTCACCTATAGTCTTATATCAATCTGTCAGAGACAAATAACCCAAATAAGAAAACACTAATTCACCACGAATTCAGAAGATAAAAAAAAACATAAACAAAAATCTAGAAAGAAAAAATAGTAAAGAAGCAGAGGAAGAGGCTTTAATCTCATACACCAAGTGCGTTTTTATAAAAGAGAAACGATTGTATTAAAAGGGTGGATAAAGCATCCACAACACTTGATTTATTATTATTATTTTTTAAAATCAACCACAACCAACAAAAAATGAGACCACATGAAAGAATCGAAAAATAAAAACAGAGGAAACGAGGAACACATATTCATTTCACCGCTGCCACCAAATCCAACATAATGAAAAAATGTTGTTTTATTTTTATTTTAGTTTATTGTTTTATTTGAAATGATTTAAAAAAGTTTTTTCCTTAGGTCTTTAAAAGTCATTTTACAAAGGGATAAATTTATTTTAAAATTTTGAAAATAAGGTGGGTGGGAAAATAGGACAAGTGTGTGGAAATAGCATAACTCTAAATTTTTTGAGAAACAACCAAAGCTTGCAGATTAAACAAAACAACAAACCCCGCGAATTTGTCAATACTAGCTAATTGAAAATTAACTCCAGAGATTTAACAAAACAAACATCAAAAGCACCTTTCATACTCATTTGAAAAATCTTCTTCATAGAAAAATGACGATGTCATATATGCAAACAATTACATATAGTTTTAGTAGGAAGAAAAATACCTAGTGAGTCACCAACCATCTCAAGATTATTTACTTATTTATTTAGGAATTCGTGGATCCCACAATGGACACTGTTTGTGCCTGATAAATCACGGCCATAAGCTGGCCGAAGGAGCCCCTTCTCTCAGCCCTGGCACTTGTTCGTAAAAACTGAAACGCAGCGTTTCGCCAGGATACTTCGCCTTCCTAAAGACAAAAGAATAAATGCTAAGGCATGATCATCTCGGCCTCAAGCGCAGGCCGAGGCCGAGGCCGAACAAAATCACGGTCAAGGCATTAAAGGCAAATCATCACGTGACAGCAGGGTCCCAGGCTTCATTTAATGAAGTAGTGCCTGTTTAATGCAGCGAACCCACTGGCCACAAAGAAGCATTTAATGCATGAGGGAATGTGGGAAGTGACTGAAGTCAGGATTTGGTGATGAGGATCAGAGTGATTAGACGTGGACATTCTCACAAGAATTCTGACAGCCTGAGATATTGGTTATCCAGGCCATAAATGCGTCTCCCCGGCCAGAAGCTCAACCAAAACAAAGCCTCCCACGGAGCAACTTATTTTTTCCTGTAATGCACTTTCAATATCTTTACTTGCTTTCCTAGGAGTAGTGTTAGATTGTAAGGAAAACCCATTTATCAATATATCATACGACCCTTGATTTTCAAGGCGCCGGAGCACCATCCTTGTTGTTCGTTCACTCACCCCATATATCACACGACCGCCGCTCCCTGAGCAGCGCGCCGGAGCACCGCCCAAAACCCACCACCAACACCATCACTCAACGGTCTTGTAGTTCAGGCCGTGAACCTAACAGCCGAGACCATTTCCTCTCTCGGCTACAATCGTTTGATTAGGAAGACGAGTTCAAACAGGCGCACCACTTATCCATCCAACACTCATCAACACATCGACGCACGGTAGACCGTGCTAGCACGCCCGCGCACAACCGCACCGCACCCAAAAGCAAGAAACCGCGTGTTAACGCATATCCCCTCGGCCCGGAACTCCAGGCCGTGAGATTTGCGCGGCAGACAGACACATCATCACTTAACGTCTTACTAAACAGTCAACTTAATAAAAAGCTTAAATTAATCAGATTTGTAAATTGATGAAATTGAAATTTATGGGTTTTTTTTTATGTTCTATATAAACTCATTTAGTTGTATTTTCTATATAAACTGGTAAAGCCCAAGTGACTCGCGAGGCAGGAGTCATGTTACTCATGTGAGGCCAACGGATAACACTGGCTGAAACCTAGGAGACTGCCTTTCTTGACCTTTATTTACTTAAGGAGTTTCTTTGAGCGAAAATTCTAATATACATCAAAGTATTGATACATCAGCTTGTTGGACGGTTAGATTTGAATTTTTTGATCCAATGGTCCAGAATAAATTGTGAATAAAAAAACCAAAAAAAGCACCTAAAAAACTAGGAAACCGGTTGTTGTCTGACGAACGCCCATCTTGCCCCAAAAAGGTTAGATTTGAATTAGGACTAACATCAAAAGACCCCCTCAAGGTATGGGGTCATTCTTAATATGGGTCACCGTAGGGGCGTCTCTACGTTAAGGGCAAGCTGGGCAGCTGCCCAACCCAAATTTTTCTAGAACAACTTCTCCTCTTCTCTGCAGCAACTTCTCCTCTACTTTTCTTGTCTACATCCACTGCTCCTCTTCTCTGTAGCAATTTCTCTTTTACTTCTCTTGACATATAGACATCAACTTCTCCTCTTGCTAGCAATAACTTCTTTTTTTGGCAACAATTATCCTTCTCATTCTCTCCTTTTTAATTATCTTATACATCTTTAATTTAAAATTGAGTATTATAGGGTTTAGGAATGAATTAAAATTTGGGAATTTTGTTGAAATTAATTAGGGCTTTAATTTTAGGAATTTTGTTGAGATGTTTGATTTGTTGTTGGTATTTTTGAGATGTTTGATTAAATGCATTGATGCTATTATGACAATCGGTTTGTTTCTGTTGAGATGTTGATTTCTCTTCTTGGCAAAATCTTCCTGAATCTCCCATTGTTAAGCCTCAAGTTGAAAGAGTTGATAATCAAAGAGTCGATGATGATCAAGATTTTAATATCAATTATCTTAAGTGTGATTCAGGATTACGTTGTAGTGTTTGTATTTGTTAAACTTTTATTTATGATAGAGATGCATTGAGGGTAAGGCTTAAAACGTCCCTCTGACTATGTGTATCTTTATATGTTTATTAACGAAATCCACTCGTACCGTCGAGTTTAGTATGTAAGTTTTGCCTAGCCGACTTTCGAATCCTGGAACCGCCACTGGGTCACCGGGTTTTAATTTCATCATTTTACACCCCATAGTTTTCAAATTCAGTCAATTTACACCGTCCGTCAAGTTCACCGTTAGATTTTCTGTTAAATTGGTGATGTGGCAATTATGGTATCCACTTTGATGCTGATGTGTAAACAAAAATAATAATAAATTCTTTTAAAAAATTATTAAATTAGATTTTTTAAAAACATTAAAAAAAATATATTCCCCATTCTCTCTCTCTCTCTCTCTCCTCCTATCTCCCTCCCTCTCTCTACCCTGAACTTGAAAACCCCTCCCACATCTCCGACCCATCTCCGATCACCTCCCCACCCAACCACCATTGAAGCCATAGAAACCCCACCCACATATCCGCCCATCTACGACTCACTATCTAATTCTCTTCCTCTCTCACTGTGTCTGGGTCGGGTCCACCAGCCAATCCACAAGGACTGCTCTCATATTAGCATTAACATCTTTCTGACCCTTCATGGCAACGGCCTTCTCTTTGGTTCCACCTAAAAAAACCAACCCATTATTCATGGTGAGCCTAATCCCCAATTGACAAAACATTAAACCCTAATTTAGAGAATTCACAAACCTACTATACCCAAAATCAAAATTAACCAAAGACCTACCAATTGGATCTTAATGCTTTATAGCCAATTTCACTATAAAAATTGAAACCAAAAACCTTTTCCCAATATCAATTTTAAGTTGAAAAGTCCAAGACAGTTCTGATTATCAAGTAAAGAAATCAAAATCTAAAGAAACAAACATGGGATCTCGACTTCCCCGATCCTGACGTCAGCGCTACCGCCTGTCCAAGCTCATCACCGAAGCACAGAAGGAAATCAACAACTGCTTCAATTCTCTGAGCGATAATCTCCTCTTCTCCATCACTGAAGTAGAGAGAGGGGTGGATAGGCAGGGAGAGAGAGCCAGAGCAAGAAAGGGAGGGAGATAGGTCGGATATGTGGGTGGGGGGCAGAGAGAGGGAGGGAGATAGGAGGAGAGAGAGAGAGAATGGGGAATATTTTTTTTAGAAAATTCAGTATAAGTCCAATTCTTATGACAGAATTTGGGTCCAATCCACACATTTGTTGTTAGTAATTCAAGTCCTCTGACTTTTGTGCCATTTAGGATTACTTACCTTTTTTAAATTTCTAAGGTTTATATTTTATTTTCTTATTTTTTTAATTTATGTTGTGCTTCCAATTTTGCCCCTAAGATAGAAATCGGGTAACCTAAAAGACAACAGAATATCAGAAATCGCGTTAAAAATCATTAGACGCCAAGAATAGAAAGAATCGCATAAATCAAATCTTCCACAATCAATTATGGTCCTGTCAAGCCGATTTCTGCAGATTTCATGCTTCTTAATTGCCGAGGGTTTTGGGTTTCATTTTAGAGTTGAATTTACCTTTCGTCTTCTTCAATTGCAGCCGGTGGAAGTTGCCGTCGTTTGGGGATTCTCACCTTGCTTCTCCATCAATTGCAGTGCCTGTGTTCCAGGTATGTTGTATATCTACCTGCTTCTTGAACGAATTTATATATGTAACTACTGGTTCCTAAACCAATTTCTTTTTGGTTTTGTTTTGTAATTGAACCTGTTAGTCTTTGACGATAACTGAACCTGTTTCCTGAACGAATTTCTATCACACCCACTGTGTATAGTACCTATGCCATAGGTACACACTCAATGGGTTACCTGTAGGGTAGGTCTACGTGAAGTGCCATATCCAATCACAAACTGATAGTTGTTACCACTGACAGATTTCGGTTGAAAAACTAGAGCACATGCATAACCTTTATAACCAAAGGTTTCAAACACTTCATTATATGCTCTTATGGATGAGTGCTTTATCTAATGAATAGACATGAAATTTCTCTATTGCAGATTCATAAGCCAGAACGGTTTAATTACAGATTCATACACATGATATTTCTCTATTACAGCTTGGGTCCAATGGGAGATTCTTGGTTACATATTCATAACCCAGAAGGGTTCAATTTCATTTCCTTTTGATCAACAGGAAATGAATAACACGCTGCTCAATGCATTCAATGAGGCTTTTGATGAAAGGTACAAAAAGCACTCTAATTGGGTCATATATGACGGAAGTTTAAGGAATAAAGAATACTAAAGTTGTTTTATACCAGAAATCGATTAAAAAGAGTACTGAAGGTGCTTTATACCACAAATCGATTAAAAGAGTACTGAAGTTGCTTTATGTAAATAGCACTCTAACTGTTTCAGCCCAAGATTGGCAAGTATTCCAGAAATCGATTAAAAGAGTACTGAAGTTGCTTTATGTAATGAATAGACATGAGAGAACCAGCAAAGTTTAGCATAATTGAAAGGCAACAGCCAACACTCTACAACGTTCACAATCTTAAGTTGTTAATAATCATTCAACAACACTCTACAACACTCTACAACTATAACAGACGGCCACAAATCAAAACACATGATGTTTAGGATTTTACCACAACGTACCTATAGCATAGTTACAGTTTCAGAAATTACCTATACAACAGGTTGTAGTTGATGATTAAACATAGTACTGATATTTCTCTATTACAGATTCATAAGCCAGAATGAGAGAATTTACCTGGGATACAGATATTTCAATTGACGAAACAGTTTCTGATAATCCAAAAAAATCGGGTGATTCCATATGTAATCGTGATTTATTAGAAGGAACCCACAAATCTTCCCATTACGGAAACAAAAAATCAATGAAAATTGGCTAAGACAGAGCATGACTTTTGAGTTTTCTGCGATGTGGGGGATCTGAGATATCAGATTTGGCTAAGTGTCCTTTACTTTCCATTTGTATATAATGGCAGTAGTCGTAAATAAATTAAAATTTGGGGCCACACTATTTGCTTAGGTGGCTGCACGATTGGGGTTTAGGACTGGGATTAATAGGTAACAATTACTGTCCTGATATCAAATTGTATTCTTGAAATTGGACCCATATCTAAAAGCCCCTATTTTTTTTTATGTTTTTAAAAATATAATTTAAAATTTTTTTAAAAGAATTTTTTGTTATTTTTGTTTACACATCAGCATCAAAGTGGGTACCACAATTGCCACATCACCAATTTAACAGAAATCTAACGGTGAACTTGACGGACGGTGTAAATTTACTGAATTTGAAAATTATGGGGTGTAAAATGATGAAATTAAAACCCGGTGACCCATATTAAGAATGACCCCATATCTTGAGGGGGTCTTTTGATGTTAGTCCTTTGAATTATTTCATTAGACTACAAGCTGGAAATAAGCATGAATATATGCTCAATTCTTGCCCCCAAAAAGGATAAAAAGAAAGTCTATGTTAGCTGTCTGCAGACATCAAGTTCTTGTCAAATAAGAGAAAAAACGTATGGAAATTGGTTATTATTGCTGATGTGAAAGTAGCTAGGAAAAATCCAGCCCACAGCTCGTCTTGCATTGGTTCCCTCTAATTTTGGTCCTACTACTACAATCTGAATCTCCCCTGGATTTTGCCTTTGCAATAGTCTTGACTATGCCATAAAAAAATAAAAATTATAGGCACATCGTTTTCTTCTTTTTGTAGTCTCTATTTACTTTTATACTAAAGTTTTACTAGCAAATGATCCACCAGTGTAGTTGTTTTGAGCAATTACTCTTCAAAAAGGTTCTGGGTTCAAGTCCTAATATCCGTATATTGTGTGTGGGTTTTAGGGGTGGTTGCGGTTCGGTAACCGCGAATTTTTGCCCAAACCGCAAACCGACCGACTATTTGCGGTATGGTGATTTTTGAAACCGCAAACCGACCGCGTTTTGCGGTAAGGTAAACCGTAAAAAGCGGTCGGTTACCGTGAATTAGCGGTTTAAAACCGCAAGTTCTTTTTGTGTCATAAAAATCCAACTTCTCAAGCATATATAAATTCACAATCTCCTCAACTTCTCAAGCATTCACAACCTAAAGAAAATTAAAGTTCAATTCCAAGCATTCCAATTCCAAATTCTTTAAAGTTACAAACCAAAAGGAAAATGCAATGCAAAATGAATTAAAGTTACAATCCAAAAGAAAATCCAATTCAAAGTTAATTAAAGTTACAAACTAAAAGGAAAATGCAATGCACCAATGTTACAAACTCAAGTGTTGGTGGTGGTGAGTGGATTTGAAGAACCTCATTGTGTTGTTTGAGCACCAATGCTATCTACAAATAAAACAACATAAGTTTAGTACATTTTATTATAAGAAGAAGCATAAATAACATGAGCATAAATAAACTAATTACTTATTTATGCAACCTCATCATCAATCTCATCCTCTTTTGCACTAGTTGAAATGTGACATCAACATCATCACCAATTTGTGCAACCTCATCATCAATCTCATCATCTTTTGCACAAGTTGTAGAAAATATTGTATGAAATATGTTGTATGAAATATATTTTACATACAATATAATATAGACAATATTATTTAAAATATATTCGCGGTTTGCGATAACCGCAAGTTTTGAAAATCAAATACCGCAACCGCAACCGCAAATGCGGTTCGGTTCTAAATACCTCAAATGCGGTTCGGTTTACCACAATTGCGGTTTCATTAAGGTAAATTATCGGTTGGTTTTTTCGGTTTTTCGGTTTTTCGGTATAAAATGCCACCCCTAGTGGGTTTAGTATGTTATCGATCATCTCAATAAAAAAAATCATCAACAAAAAGGTCTTACCAAAGTTTATGAACATTAAAAATTGAGAATTAACTATATAAGGTGGGGCAAATGTACAGTACAATTGGCCATTAAATTTAATGGTTCACTTAGAGCATAAGAAATACATTGTTTATGTTGCTGCAAATGATTAGGAATTATATAAGTTAGAGATGCTTCTATAACATATGCGCATCGAGTCCATTTTATTATATTATATTCTTAATCCTATCTTGTTTCTTGCAATTGTACAATTTGCAATCTTTTAGCAGGCATAACTTTTCCATCTCTTGCGTGCTGCCAAAGGACTAATCAAATATTCTCAAAAGATAATAGAGAAGATATAGGTTAATTAAAAAAAAACACAGATCATCAGAATAATGTCTCTAAGGGAAATAATAGCTTAAGCCCTCTAGCTAATGGCATCACCAAACATATCTATACCATAGAGACACCAAAAACTCAAAGGGTCTCACAAATTCTCTAAATTGTCAATTCTTCAATGACTTTTTAAAGAAGAAGAAAGTCTTAGCTACAAGAAGAATGTCATTGTAATTGAAGATACCACCACAGTGAAGAAAACAACAAAACACACCTGCTAGGGAAACAACAAAACACACCTTGTAGGTAAATTGCAAACCCAAATTCACCAGTTCCTCAAGAGTACATTTTACGAATTAATGACACCAAGGAAGTTTTGCAAATGATCAATACACCAGTAGATTAGTTATCTATACAGTCGATGTTGCCTGTGCTTTGAAAAATAAGGTGTTCACCAAGTTTCTGCTTACAAAAACAAAAAATCAGGGCACTCATCAATGTTTGTAAATCAAAAGCTCAGTAGACCTTCAAAATTCATCATGTCTCTGTCAAGTTCTCAAGGCAGTGGTGACTTTGATGGTTTACATCACTTCGTTGGCTTCCATAGAGTCCCTGAAATGATGATTTGCTTCTCGCAATCATTTCTCTTAGAGGGAATTAAATTTTTTGAGAAACAACTAACTAAAGCATGCAGATTAAACAAAACAACAAACCTCATGTGGCATAACAAGTAAATTAATTTATTAATACTAGCTAATTGAAAATTAACTCCAGAGATTTAACAAAACAAACATCAAAGCACCTAAAACAACTGCCCAACAGGAATGCGAACAATTAGTTTTACTTTTACTAGAAAATTATAAAGGAAAGTACCTTTTAAAGAAGATGATCAAAGTACCTTTCATACTCACCTCAAGATAATATATGCCGCCCGCCGAGACAGATGTTTTCATAAATGTACTTTGCGAGTCACGACCATTCACTGAAGATTTTGAAGGAAACAAATAAGATCATAGTTGGAATTGATACATAAGTATGTAGATAAGAGATTGCTAGAGCTCAGTTACCTTCTGTTTATGCGGATGTTTGGGTTCGTAGCAGAAATCTTGGCCCACTCTCCATTGCCTTCCTGGTAACGCTCTAAAAGTCTCTCAGATCCAGGGATGCAAAGAGTATGCAGTCGTGTTTTGAAGACGAAGTCTGGCAGCGCTTTTAACAATTCGCAACTGACAATTGATAACTCAGAAAGGTATGGCATAATTGTAATTTCAGAATCCTCTTTCGTCCACTCTTCCACGCCTTCCCACTCTTCCCAATTCGACAAGGAGATAAAATAGAGTTGTTTCAATTTTGGGAATAATATCAGGGGTGGTGATCCAATTCTGAATGAGGTTTGATCTTCTAATCCCAAAAATTCAACACCAACCTTTCTCACTCTACACATATCCCATAGGGTCAGTGTTTCAAGGTACTTCAATTTCCCAAAAGGCCAAAGTTCACACTGTGTCCCTCTACAAAGATCAAGGAATCTCAAATTGTATAAAGACTGAATCCAATTGGGCCACATGGTGCCATTATGATTCCAAATCCTTAAAGATTCCAAATCTGGGTGCGGTCGTAAGGCATTCAATATTTCTACACTACTGTTCATCTGCCCTTCAAAATCAAGGGCGAGATGAAATAGCTTTTTGTCCCACAATTGTGCTTTCTCAACCTCGCTCTTATCTGTCGCATCCCCAATAAGTCGTATTTCCAGACGTCCCTCAAGGTTCAACTTTCTCAGATCCCCAATTTGGAATGCTTCATCGTTGTCGCCACCACACCGACACACATCTAGTGTTTGTAAACTTGTTAATCTCCCTATCCCTTTGGGCAACGACTCCAGAACGTCACACCACGCAACATAAAGATGCTTTAAGTTAATCAAGTTTCCCATGTTTTCAGGCAGTTTTATAAGTTTAGAGCAAATACGAAGGCTCAAGGTGGACAAATTGTACAAACCACAAATAGTGTCTGGTAATTTCTCTAAATCTTTATTTTGGGACAAATCAATATGCCTCAAATGTATCAATTCACCAATCTCCTCTGGGAGTTCTTTGATGGAATTACCACTCAAATTTAATGCCCTAAGACATTTCAATTGTGAAATTAAATTTGGATCTATGATAGTAATTCCTGAATTAAAAGTTGCCAGCGTGCGAAGATTTTTGCAATTGTGGGATGAGATAGAAAGTGCAAGTGGTCCTTCGGGAACATATCTTAAGGTCAAATGGCGAATCTTATCACTCAATACATTTGATTCTCTAATAGCACCCTCAGCGTGATCCATAAGCAAACACTCATTCTTGGTGAGAAATTGAACAAAGTCGTGCACAATATCATGCATTTTGCAACGTGTAATTGTACCAGTGTCAAAATCTTTCTCAAAATCTTGAAAAAAAGACCGTGCCACTAAGTTGTCAAAAACTGCATCACCGGTTGTTCTCTTTTCTTTATGCCCTTTCGAAATAACATAGTCTTGTGCCATCCAAAGCTTAATCAAATCATCTCGGTCAAACACGTAATCTTTAGGAAAAGTAGCACAATATAAAAGGCAACATTTAATTGTTGGGGCCAAATCATAATAACTTAGGAAAAGATGTTGGAAAACTTCTTGCTCGACCTTCTCGAGATCCCATATCTTACTATTCAAAACATCATTCCATTCTCTCATTCTTCTCTTATTCTGCATGAGACTACCTAAAGTCTTTGCAGCAAGAGGCAAACCTTTACACTTCCTTACAATTTTCTCACTTATATCTCCAAATGCCTCATCTACATCCCCATCAGAAAAGGCCATATGATTGAAGATTGCCAAACAATATTTATCACTCAACCCTTCCAGATTGATCACATTTGGTGTTGCTCTCATCATATTAGCAACCTCTAGTTTTCTTGTGGTGACCAATATTATGCTGCCTTTAGCACCGCTTTGCATTAGTGGTACTTTTAAAAGCTCCCACTTTTGACGGTTTTCAGTCCACACGTCATCCAGGACAAGAAGAAACCTTTTGCCCTGGATGGATTCGGACATACATTTCAAGACATAATCCAGCTGATTTGAACTCGTGGCGCAATCGCCAATAATATCTTTGGCAATCTGAATCTCATCAAAAGGTTCTGACACACAAACCCATTTTCTGATCTCAAAATGGGCTTTAACATTTTCATCATTATAGGCTAATTGGGTCAGAGTTGTCTTTCCTATGCCTCCCATCCCTACAATAGGGATGATAAGGAGGCCCTTTTCTTCTTCACTACTATCACCCAACAATTTTGTTATCAAAATACTCTGTTCCTTTTCACGACCAAATATCTCAGACATATTGACATAAGATGCAGTTTGAGGTCGTTGAGGTTGTTGAAGTTGTTGAATGTCTAATTATTTGCGTAGAAACTGGTACTTTTTTCTTTCCTCATAAATCTCAGTTAACTTATCATTCAGATCTTTTATTTTCCGAGCAATTTCACAGCGAAAAATCTCCCGACTGTCTTTGCCAAAAGAAAAGAAACGGGAGAAATTAAAGAAACGTACCTTCTTATTGGGGGGAACAAGAGCATTTTGTTCTCTTTCTTGCTTCTCAACTTGTTGTTTGAGAATGTCTGTGTTCCACTCATCCAGCACATCCACCATCTGGTAGGATATATCTTTGAGCTCATCCAACCAGATTTTGACAGCTTGATCCGTCACTTGGCGTTGCTCTGCATCCTCAAGCACAGCTTGAATAACTCGGAGAGTCCGAGTGAATTTCTCAACATCTTCCTTAACGTTCAAAACAAGTTTCACCCCTCCTTCTATGTATTCATAGGTTGTCGAGGCCAACCGTTCTAGCAGTATGGAAATGAGCGCATCAGCCATTATTTTGAGCTTTAGAAAATGGTTGGCAGCAGTGTTTATGAACAAGAACTGATTGCAGGATGATTGTTTGTGTTGTGGTGTTCCCTTTCTTATGCCCAGTTTATATGCTTAGTAAGTCTTCAAAGCAAAGTCCAAGTCAATTATATGATATGTAATATGAGGCTCGTGGGTGTTCCACATATGCTGAGTAAGTCTTGAAGGCAAAGTCCAAGTCAATTATATGACAAGATATGTCATGAGTTCAATTTCCCTCTGCCTTCCTGTTTCTTTCTTAATATTTCACCACCTGTCCCACACTTAACAGAGAGATAACGACGGTTAACTCAAATTGATATTGAAGAATAAAACAAATATTGAAAAGTGAACTTTGTTTTTAATGTAATCTTCATCTTCTTCCTCTAGCTTTCTAACCACCCAATGAGAAAAACCCACGGATCAAAGTTCAAACCCCTCTCAATCCTTTCAGAAGTTGAAACAATAATAAAGCCCAAATTGGCACTCTTCCACCGTCTTGATCCCTCGCCATATTGATGTCTTCGCCTCCACCTCCAGAGGATTGTAGCCTACGCATCTGGTTCAAGGGTTAATCCAGCACTTAAACCCTCTCTCTCTGGTTTTGGCTTGAAGTCAAATAAACACACAAACATCACAAACAAAACAACTCTCTCCCTCCCTCTCAATCCCTAAACTAATTTCCAAAATAAATTAGTAATTCTTTTAGTTGCTGAAGAAACGCATAACATATTCTTCAAAGATCAATCCAAAAAATATTAGTCAATTCTGTTATGTTCCTCGTGTTTTCTCTCGATAACAAAACAAGTCAAAGATGATTAGAATTTGGGAGAAAGGGAAGAAAAGGAACAGACCCTAAATCACAATGAGAGATAATAGTTTTCAGAAGGTGAATTGTAATTGATTGCCGTAGATCCACAACTGCTTTTTCAGTTCTCTAATTTCGGTTCTGTGTATGTATGTGTTTGAGCAAATTACCAGAGCAGTGGTAAGGTTGGAGGCTCATAACTAATTTGGCATGATGGAAACTGCGATATAGCAAAAGCTTTGTTTTTAAAATATATTTTCTTTGACTTATATTCGTTTTGTTAATTCTGTTTGATATATCTTCTTCTACCCAGTCGTCAAGGAAAACTCCAAGTCAACTGCTCCAGCAAAACAAAAGTCTCATAATCACCCCATTTAGACCGGGACCGTGTCTTGTTTCATGGATCCCCCTTTGCCCGCAAATTGGGTTTTTTATTTATTATTATTTATTTATTTATAAATATTAGTAATTTAATTTAAACTTTTTTTTAAATACAAACTAGCCTCTCTGCACTCACTTTCGTGCCTGCAAGAAGCTTTTTTTTAAAAAAACTTAAATTTATTTTAGAATTAAAAAAGATAATGAGTAGTCGTGTTCCATAAAAAGAGGATTCATTATCTGATTTTTCTTTTAATTTTAAATTTTGTTAATATTAAAAAGTGTGAATTTACCATAATATCCTTATTTAATTAATAATTTCAATTCTTAATGTTTGCATTAACCAAGGGCATTTTCTGATATTTTGAATGTTTCACAATTCTCTGCCTTTTGCTTTATATATATAGATGATGTACTTTAATTTAATTTAAATTACAGAGAGAGTGATTCAAACTCGGGTCTAAAGTGGAGAGCACATTATTCCTTTCCGACGTAGTTGTGCTTCCATAAAAACTCAATTTGTTTTTTACTTTAATGTTTTCAAAATTAAATATTATTAACTTACAGGTCCAGCTAAATATATTTAAGTTATTTTATGTATAATTAGTTTGAGGTGAGCTATTTACTCAAAACTACCAAGGTTTCTTTAACTATTTTCATCTTATATATAACATGTAACAATGTGAAAAGTTTCAAAATGTGGTGGGGCCAGCCAATGCCACTCCTGGAGGAGTAGCTCCACCCCTGGGCGAATGCAATTTTCAAACACACATTATTCTTTTTAAAAAAAAAGAGACAGATACAGACCTCAGTCTTGCTGCCTAGCATGTTCACGATTACAAGTCACAAGGCTCTGATTGAGTTCGGCAGAAAGCATCGTCATTCTGTTATATATAGCTCCATTAATTTACATTCAGTTGTTCTCCGAAAGTTTAAGTTATACGTGCAGTTACTTTTCTTGCAAGTATACATATTCTTACTTCAAAACTAAAATAAACTTTCTTAACTTCAGCGCCTCGTCTGATGACAGCCTTCGAAATGAAAACAAAACATGATTTTCTTATCCAGTAACTCTTTCAGTTGCATACTATGAGGCTAATGTATCTGACATTCCATTGGGGCTTTCCATTTACCCCTCCAGGTGAACATTCCAATCTATTGCACTGGTTCTCGCCTGTTTTTGCAAACTTTGCCGCATTATAAATGCGACGGCACATTCTTCCTGTTGCACAGGCCTCATTGATTTCGCAGGGGATGAGGACCGAGCTTGGCATTTTGAGTCTGCACAATAACCACATCAAATAAAAATGAGGACACACTTACAAAGTTACAAATAAGAGGTGATCTTTATACAAAAGATAGAATGATATTTCATCTAAACAATCAGGCCAAGCAAAAAAGAAAGTTTTCTAATTAATTATTTAGTGATTTGGAGGGGGGAAAAAAGGAGACCTCAGTTCCCTTCAAGCACGTGGGATGATTCCAGACTTCAATTCTGCAATCTGAAATAGATAACAGGGTTTTCAAATTGCTTAATTTGCTGATGAACAATATGTGTGTGCGCACGCTAATCTAGTTAGATAGGAGAAACATAAATATTGAACCACTTCAATTTTATGGGAGGAAAAACATATCCAAGTATTATCAATCCTGAAAGACATACAAACTAGCTAATAGAACTAAGATTGTGATGAGAAACAACCTTATGCACCACTTTTACATTCTTATGAACACTGGATGTCGCAGTTGAGGCGGGCTTTGGATATCTTCGGTTTGCAGCGTTATTTTCCTCTTTTCCCTGCACATATATACAACATGACCACAAGATTTACATCGTACTAAAATCTAAACAAACAAACAAAACAAAAGGGCATTCATTAACAATTATCAACCTTCAAACCCAAATATAATAAGATCTTGGCATGGTTCCATTATATTCAAAAAATCTTAAAACCTTACTCAACAACACATTGGCCAAAAAAGTTCACAATAATGGATCATCATTACCATTAGCATAAAAGAAAAAGATCAGAAGATTCAGAACTCAATTCTTCAATATTATGTGGTGCCTAGCTATTCTACTTCTAAGATCTATCTTGGCAACAATTAAGCATGCTAAGAAGAAATATATATATCAATCTTTTGTTAAATTTCATGCAACATTATCATGAATTTACCAAAAAGTCAGAGACACTATCCAATCTTCCAGATTTGGGAAAAGTCATTATGGATAAAATTTAACCACGACTATATGCCAAGTTCCAATATCCTAATAGCCAGTAAGTGCACCATAGGTTAACCATACAATGAAAGAACCATTTCATCACTCACAGTATTGGAAGACAGGGCTACAGTCAATTGGCGTTTAGCCTCTTAGGGTAACAAAGTTATATGAATGTTTATATAGCACAAAAGGCAAAGGGGAAGGTAAACATAATTCATCTTTTTCCCTTATAAATGACAAAAGAAATATTCACAGGAAAAAACCAGAACAAAATATTCAATAAAAGTTATAAAAGAAAACTTCAAGTGACCTCAGGGCCTTCTCGAGTTACCAATCTCTTATAATCCCAATGGCACGTACAACTTTCAAGAGCACCAGAGACTGAGGATATACATTCAAGCATAAACTAACCATATCTAATTTTATAATTACCTCTTTCTTTTTTCTTTCCTTTCCATAATTCTTGCGCTCAGAGTCAACACGAGGGGGATTATTTGTAAACCTGTAATTATTAACAACTCAACTATTTCATTTTCAAACCCTTGTAAGCATAATTCAAAACACAAAAAGATAAAAGTGACAAACTACAGGAAACAATGTGTACACATGTAACATGCATTACATGGATTTTGGTCTCTGATTCTCAGACTGGCGAACCTTCTGTCGCATCTGTTGATTTCCCAAACCTAAAAGCTTTCTAGAAACTCCAATACAGCTCCTGAAAAGTTCCAAGTTAACTACCCAAATGGATAGAGACAGACAGACAGACAGACAGAGAGTAAAAGAGAGACAGCAAGACAGACACAAATATAGATACAAAAACTGTTATTATCATGAAATCAGACCGTTTCTCTACAGCCATGTTCTTCAAGCCACAAACAATGGATTTTTCATTTGATGTATTCTGCAAAAATAGAGCAAAGAGAAAATCATTATCAGCATCAAAGCTGATCGTAATTGTAATATGAATGTTAAACCAGATGGTCAACCTGGACAGATCGTGCATGAACTGGTAGATTTGTTTGTAACCTATCAGCCCATTTTTTTTCATTTGAATTTGCCTTTTTTGGATCACTTCTAGAACTAGGATAAGATGGCACCAATCTACTTCTCGTTGACGAAGGATGAGGAACAGTGGCACTGGAGCAAACTTCAGTAAGTTTTTTACGTGAGGAAACATGACTGGCATTATTCTCGCTGGCAGCCCCACGAGTGTTGCACTTGCTAGGAAGAAGATGGTTATCCCTTTTGGAAGTAATATGCAGTGGAAGTGGTTTTGACTTCTCCAATGACTTAACAGCATCTTTAGTAATTCTGCAGTCCAACTTTGATTTGTTTCGAGGTAAAGCAGCATTAACCTGAAATAATAACCCAAAATTACCCCTTAAAAATACATTGAAAATATAGAAAAAGTCTGAACTCAAGCAAGAAGTCAATCCATAGGCTACTCAGCAGAAGTAAAAACATATATCATAACTTAATTGATCAAATCCAACTAATTATGTCCTTTTTCCAGAAGATAAGCCATGAGAGTGTTACAGTACTCTCACTTTCTTCCTACCTGTATAATTCTACTGTGTTTTGTGTACTTTTTTATGTCCCCTACAATTCAGTGGGACTGACAACCAAAAGGCTTTCTATATAAGAATCAACAAAGTCATTGATGACCTTAATAGTCTATAAGATGACACCTTTAACTATGAAAACCGATTACATTTAGCTCTCCACTAGTAGGATTCATACCAGAGCTAGATCCTCATTTAAACTAAAATTTTCACATAGAGATAATTCCTGTTCCATAACGTAGTTATAAAAGATGGGGATGTTCTACAGATGAGAGAAGTACATAGACACCAGCTAATACCTTAGCCTTTAATACAGGAGGTGCGTGTTTCTTTGGCTTGTCAGCATCATTCTTGACAGGGTCAGCGACAAGGCTATCATGCTGGGCAGCTCTGGAGCTACTAGTGACTGATGGAGTGGGTGATAAGGAAGCATCAACTCTAGCTTGTTCTGGTTCAATATTAGATAAAGTATTATTGGCTTCATCTGCCATGATAGCCTTATCCGTATTGTCATTACAGTCATTCAACGGTTGTTGCTTAGCTTGTCTAAGTTTATCAACTACGGTTCCCAATGACGAATCTGAATTAGCAACTGTATCATTTCCACACGTTTTCTGTTTGGACAAGTCATGAAAATTCTCATATTCCAGTTGCGTGGTGTTAAACTTCACATCCGGACAAGGATCAGGTTGGGTGGTTTCTTGGTGCTGCACTTGCAATGCCTTGAGACCTCTAACTCTTTTGTAATAGTCTTCGAAGTAGGCCTTCTTTTGGGCAACCAATCCATTGGACTTGTACATTTCAAGCTCCTCCTGACACCTGTTGTGCCGAAAAACAGACCATTTTTCCCATGCCAGTGATTCTACAGCAAATCGTCCAAAGGATATCGAACCATGATCCAAAATTTGAGAGATAGTTACGTCCTGATTTTATATGAAAATAACAAAAATCATATAGCAGCAAACTTCAATGATTAAAGCACATAAATCACACCTACAGAGTCAAGACAATTTCTACAATACCAACAACCCTTTCATCATTAGAATTTCAATTTTAGTGTTCATAAATCATGTACTAAACTTAGAATTTCAATTTCTCAGTAACCTAAAAGAGAATTCAGGAAGTGAAAGCAAGAACTTCACAGAATTAGTACCTGGGAGTGTTGACGGTCTGAAGCTATATCAGGCTGATGAAATTCAGTGTAAGTCGCCATTTCCAAATTCCAATTACTCTCTCTACAGTTGCTTACTATTTCTGTAAGTAGATCAAATTCTCCATTACCAAACTCCTACAAAAACAAAAAGAACAAAATTATCACCCAAGTAAATTTTCCTTTGCTTTCTCTCGTTTTCTCAGCACCCAAACAGGAAAAATCAAGCATATGATAATCAACAGTAACCGTCTACTTACCAACAAGTTCAAGCAAAGAAGCTTCCAGATCTGAGATTCAGAGAGCCTCTCCGAACCCAAAACGCACCGTCTTAAGTACTCAGTTCTTTGCTTGAAAGTTGTGGCAGTGAGAGAAGTTACGAAGAAGGAAGAAGAAAAATGGCTAGTATTTCTCCAAGTCGATGCTCCATAGAAAGAGACAGAAAGCAACTAACGCCCCTTTGTTCGACGTGGCTTCTCTGCGATGCGTCACAATGGCTCTTTCTGCATCTGGGTCCTACATTCGCCACGTGTACACCAAACTAGTGCTGGTGAGCATTTTAGGACCTGGTTTGTGCCTTTAATTACAGAGAAGCCGCGGTGGGTTTTCGTTTATGCAGGTTTAGATGGAATCTAATTGGTTAAAAAATTGGTTTATTTGCAGTTTTTCTAAAGGCAGGGAAGTCTGTGGACCCATGTGGGCCACGTGGCGGGAGTAGGTTAATTAATATGGGGCTGGCATGAGGTCCACGTGATACAAGCATGGGTCCTCAATGTGTTATGAGACAATGAGGACATTAGGAGAGTATCATTGCTTTAAGATTTAGTTCGTGAGGAAATCTAACATTGCTTTTATTCATGATGGGGTCCTAAAAAGAGAATTATAATACCTCTTACAACTTTTTTCAGATTGGCCCGTCTGGCCCCCAACTGGTACATTGTACGTTGTTTATTGAAGGGGTAGTTTAGATTCGAACCTATATGGAGCTAGTTTCCCGCCCGATTTAGATGTTGAATTACGTGATGCGCAAGTTATTTCAAGTTCATTCAATCTATTAATTTTCGGGCATATTCATGAATGGCCCCTCCAAACATGCATATAGTATGTGAAAGTTGTTAAACTCGTGTAAAAGTAAATCCAACTAAAGGTGTTTATATTTTGCCCTATCTTACTACCAAATTCAGAATATGATGAAAACGGTCGGGATGAGTTGCCAAATTATGATTATAATATAAATTATTACTCTAATAATAATAAAAATGGCTACAAGCCAGACTATGACATCGATAGGCCAAAAGGTGGCTTTGTTGGGTGTTTCAAGAATCAAAATCATTACCATGGCTACAAACAAAGAGCCAATTTATAGTTCTAATGGTCAAAATGATGACAAAAGGCCAACATATAAAGATAAAGAACCAAAATATGGTTCTAATCAGCCCATTTATACTTACGAGGCATTCAAAGAAAACATGGAGCTTTCAAATAAACAATGTCAAGACAACATGGTGTTTGATTAACCAAATCAACGAGGACTTTGAGCGTTTTAAAAAGAAGGATGCAACCCATATCCTATCCTTTAGGCTATCTTAAGAGGTGTCGCTTGCTCCACAAGGCAACAGTGGTCAGAATGACCACTCTTAATTAGCTCAACCAGAACAACTTAGTGGCCTGAATTTTCCCGTTATTGATCGAAAACAAATAAAATATGGCTAGAAAGTAACTGCTAATGTTCAGAACTTGATGCTTAATCGTGGTCGACAGCCAGTCCAAGTGCGGCAATTTTCGGGGGAGCAAATGGTGATAAGAATGTCTAGGGCAATATATCGAATGGTGACCAGAATGATCATGTTTTTCCAATTAGTGGTGTAGAAAACCCGATGAACCATAATCCAGTGACCGAAATTGATCATGTTTTGCCAATTAGACGTCAACGAATTTACTACTTGTTGTTCATAATGATGTTCAGAATATTGGAAATAATCCAACTGCTGCTATTGATAATGGTAGAGGTAGTAGACCAATCCATGGTGCAATGCCTGCTCCAGCAACAAGAATTGTGTTTGAAGCAGCATGAAGAAACTTAAAACCTTATGATCATGAAGGAATTCAGCCTGAAAAGACACATACGTTTTTGTAGTTGAGATGACCAATTTAAAGAGTCTAGTGGTTTTCAAAAGCGTAATTATTTAAACTCGAAAAATATGGGAAGAATTCAGTGGCTACTGGAGACTTCGTATCCGATCGTATTGACAAAATCAGATTGAGTTGGAGAGAAACCACTTGCTACTTGAAAATTCAAAATTATTTCATGATGTTCACGTTACTCGCTACTAAATCAGATCGAGTTGAAGAAAAACACTAAAAGTTGTTGAAAAACCAATCGTTGTACATGATGTTCACGTTACTCGCTACTAAAAAAAAACACATGCTTATGTTATTTACGACAAGTACTTGAGACAAATGATGCCCCTCACACGGACAAAAATCAAGATGACTCTCCTTCCATTCCAATAGATATAGGAGGAGCCCAAAAGCCACATGATGAACAATCCAGATTTAAGGGCCATTTCATTTGGAATGGACGGCCAGCTTTAAAATCTTTTTTTCAACGTTTGTTTTCATCTAATGACCAAGATTTTTTTTTTTTTTTTTTTTGGGAATGAGACAAATAATGGTGACATGACCGACCAACTAACCACCATTAATCTCTGGTTTTTTTTTTTGGACAAGTAGGCACGGTGGCCCTATTTGTCAACGGTGTCCTCATCTAGTCGACTTGGAGTCTTTTGGGTAGGAGAAGGGCGATACCAAACACTCATCTTGCACTTCTTACTTCATAGATCTTGTGTTTCTGTGTTTCCAGTGTCAAACAAACATGGTGGAGGCACTCATTTCCGTGCTCCTAGAACGATTGGCTTCTGTAACTTATCACCACATAGAAGATGAGGTGAGATTCGTTTTGGATGCCAAGAAAGAAGTTGAAGAATTCGCTGCCCATCTCGAAGATATTCGAGCCGTGCTTGAGGATGCAGAGCAAAGGCAAGTGAAGGAGGCCAGTGTGAGAAACTGGTTGGATAAGCTGGAAGGTATAGCCTACAAGATGGACGATGTGTTGGATGAGTGGAACACTGAGATTCTCAAACAACAAGTTGAAAAAAAAGAAGCAAACGGTGAAAATGCTCATGTTGCTAATAAGAAGACGGTATGTTTCTCTATCCCCTTATATTGCTTTTGTTTCGGCCAAGTAAGTCGCGTAATTCGTCACCGTGACATTGCTGTTAAGATAAAAAATCTGAATGAAAGCTTGGTTGTGATTGCCAAGCAAAGACAAACATATAATTTTCAATACTTGGAAAGAAACATTGAACTGCCAGAACGAGAAAAACTTCATCTTTTGTTGATACATCTGCAGTATTTGGTAGAGAAAAACAAAAGGGTGTTTTGGTTAGCAAGTTGTTTAGCCAGAGTAGTGAAGAAGGAAACGGCCTCCTTGTCATCCCCATTGTGGGGATGGGAGGAATGGGAAAGACAACTCTATCTCAACTGGCCTATAATGATGAAAATGTTAAATCCTATTTTGAGAAGAGAATATGGGTTTGTGTCTCGGAACCTTTTGATGAGATTAAAATTGCCAAAGCCATCATTAATGGTGCCAAAGGCACCACCCCTGAATCAGATGAGTTAGAAGATTTCTTGCAATGTATGTCTGAATCCATCGCGGCAAAAAAGTTGCTCTTAGTCCTAGATGATGTGTGGACACAAGACCAAAGAAAGTGGGAGAAATTAGAGACACCATTAATTCAAAGTTGTGCCAAAGGCAGTAGAATATTGGTGACCACACGAAAGCAGGAGATTGCTATTATGATGGGAGCTACCACTCATATGATTCATATGGAGGAGTTGAGTGAACAGGATTGTTTGTCAATATTCAAACACACTGCATTTTCTGGTAGGGAAAAATTTGAGTCTAATGAGCTTGAATCTATTGGTAAAGAAATTGCAAAAAAATGTAAGGGCTTGCCTCTTGCGGCAAAGACTATGGGTAGTCTGATGCGCTATAAGGAAACCAGGAGGGAATGGCAAGATGTTTTGGATAGTAAGATATGGGATCTACAAGAGGTTGAGCAACAAGTTTTCCAACCACTGTTACTTAGTTATTATGATTTGGCACCTGCGATCAGACGTTGTCTTTTATATTGTGCTATTTTTCCAAAAGATTATGAATTCAACAAGGATCGTTTGGTTGAGCTGTGGATGTCACAAGATTTTCTGAATTTGAAAGGAAACCAAGAAAAGAAAGTAATAGGCCAAAGATTTTTTGGTAACTTGGTAATGCGATCTTTCTTCCAAGATCTAGTAAAAGATGAGGATGGCAATATTATAGGATGCAAAATGCATGATATCGTGCATGACTTTGTTCAGTTTCTCACCAAGAGTGATTGTGTTTGTATGGAGGCTACCGGTACTAACATTGAGACAGAGCTCTTGCGTGCTAATTACACAATAGGGCTAGGGGACAACAAGATTCGCCATTTAACCTTAATGTTTGCACCGAAGGGCCCATTTCCGTTATCTGTTTCATCTTGCAATTTCAAAAATCTGCGTAGCCTTACAGCTTTGGATTCAAAAATCACTACCATACACTCAAATTTACTTTTAGAATTGAAATGTCTTAGGACATTAAATTTGAGTCATAATCTTATCAAAGAAGTGCCAGAAGAGATTGTCGAGTTGGTACATTTGAGGTATATTGATTTCTCTTTCAATCCTTTTCTGAGGAAGTTACCGAACGCAGTGTGTGATTTATACAATTTGCAAACCTTGCGCTTTGTTGGGTGCTATGGACTTCAAAATCTACCGCAAAGTATGGGGAAGTTGATTAACTTAAGCCATCTTTATGTTTCCGGTTGTGATAAGCTGAAGTACTTGCCAAAAGGGATTATGGGATTACAAAGTCTGAGAACACTAGATGAGTTTCGTGTTTGCGGCAGTGACAACGATGAAGCATTGAAACTAGGAGACCTGGGAACCTTGGACCAGCTTCAAGGTGTTCTTAGGATAAGAATTCCGGGGAATGGCGAAGATGGTGAGGCTGAGAAAGCACAATTGTGGAACAAAAAGCAAATTTCTCACTTGAAACTAATTTTTGAGAATTTTCAAAACGAGGAGAGAAAAAGCAGCAGTGTAGAAATAGTACTGAATGTCTTGCGACCGCAGCAAGATTTGGAATATTTAGATATACGTTGCTATCATGGCATAAGTGGTCCCAATTGGATGATGTCTTTACACAATTTGAGAATCCTTATTCTTCATGGATGGAATGAAAGTCAGTTTTTGCCTCCTCTTGGTAAATTGCCATCCCTTGAAAGACTGATGATATCGGATATGAGAAAGGTGAAAAAGGTTGGAGATGAGTTTTTGGGAATAGAAAACCAAACATCAATAAAATCATCCTCATCAGCATGTATTTTATTCCCAAAATTGAAACAACTCAGACTTGTAAGCATGTCGGGTCTGCAAGAGTGGGAAGGAGGGGTGAAGGAAGAGGATTCTGATAAGATTACAATAATGCCATGCCTTTCTTCCTTAAATATTACGCTTTGCAGTGGCCTAAAAACACTGCCAGGCTTCCTGCTAAAATCACCACTGCAGAATCTTTTCTTCCGTCATTGTCGGAATCTTGCACGAAGTTACCGACAAGGCACAGGAAAGGAGTGGCCCAAGATTTCTCACATCCCAAACATCACAATTGATGAAACTGATCCTGATTTTGATGATGAGGAGGGTCATGAGATTGTACAAGAAAAGGATGTTCTGTAGTTGAAGTCACTCACAGCTGTTTTAACCGTAACAAGAGTGAGCTGTCAAAAGGTATATTTTTTCTATACATTTCCTACTTAAACTTACTTCCTTCTGGTTCCTAGTTCATAGGCCCATTCCAGATACAAATTCCGTTTTTTTTGTTGATAGAAACAGGTTTCGAACGTATCAATCATGACCGAGAATCAATAATGAAAGAATGCAGAAAGGGGTAATCTCAAAATGGATGTAACTATTTCAAGTTTCTACGAGAATAGCTTTATGCAATATGTTCTTGTTTCTTCTGTGATTATTTGTTTCAATCATTTAGAAGAGAAAAAGGGATTGAAATCACCATTTCCTTTTGGCTTCTATAAACATTCATATACTTTGTTTCCCTAAGAGGCTGAAAACCAATTGACTCTTGGCCTATCTTATGTTGCTATGACCTTATGAAATTTTTCTTTCATTGTAGGGTGTAAACAAAGGGCACTTACTTGTTCTTTCATCTGGACTGGTTCAATTCCGGCTTCCGATGCCAAATTTGGCAGACCTGGGATGGTGTTCTTGAATTCCTGACAAACTCATGGTAATATGGCATGAAAATATAGCAAAATATTTAAGTTTTGTTAGCATGCTAAACTGTCACTAGATGGATCGTATAAATAGAGTAGCTAGGCATCATTCAGATGATGTTGAGGAATTGATGTATTTATTTGCCCCACGTGCAAAATAATGTTTGAGAGTTTATTGGTTATGAAAGCATATGCCATGCTCTTAATATGTTTGGTTTTGAATGATGATTAGAGAAAGCAATGTATGATTAGATAAAGCAATGGACGCAGAGGTAAATACTGGAGATCCAAACTCTGCCTCATTTCTTGCATGGCATGATGGCACTCAGAAGAATTTTGAAACTGGTGCATAATTAAGGTTGTTTTTTTTTTTAATCTGTCACAATTTGCATTCTTTCTGCTTGTTTTTGCATGTGTGGTGGCAGAACCACTCTTAGGGCAGGAGCAGCCTTGGGCTCCCAACTTTTTGACCTCTCTAATCTACAATATTATGTAGATAATGTTCTAGTATATACAACTAGTAATAAACAACTTATAATTTAAGTTAATGGCCCCTATAAAACGAATTAGACATGACTAAGTTCTAAATATTTAGCTCTAACATGCAACTTTTGGATACTTATATAGTGCAGACGCTGAGATGAGCAAAGGGGGTCTGACCCCCAGTTTTCAGAAAATTTGATTTTCTGGGTTTTTGAACACGGATCACCACCTCACCTCTGGAGCTTGAAGTAATCAGAGGGCTTAAGCGGTAGGCATCTGAACCTGCACCAACTCCAACAAGCCTCTTTGCTCCTCATAGGAAAAATCGTAAATAAGGTTGAATACTAAATAAGGAAGACTTTTGCAGAATTAATGGGAACGCATGCAGCATGATGAATGTGGTTTGCATTTGTAAATGCAGAAAAGCGTGGAAAAAACAAGGCGAAAAACCAGTTGAAGAAATCAGAATAAGCACCTTCAGAAAAGAAAATCATGTTTCATTTATGCTAAGCAATGTTTTATTATTCGTTTTACTTAGTCTCTTTTTGTTTACTCTTTCAGAGTTTTGGTTTCTTGGGTCCGCATATTATTGTGCCTTTCTGTCATTGTCTTTCTTTTCTGCGGGGTTTGGTTTGGTCCTCCCTTGATGTTCTTGTTTTCTTTATGTTTCTTCTCTATTAATAAAATTATGATCAATTGGATGGGCGAGGGGGCTCCCGCAATATGTTGATCCCCTTTTTGAGGGTTGTGAATGTTTGTGTATCCGATGACCGATACTGAGGAGTTAATCTCACATAATCCCTTGGGCTAGACACATTAGCTCAACTAATTTAACACTTCAATTCTTTTTAATTGATGTTACAATTTCTTTAGTACTTTTGTATTTGATAAAATTGATGCTACATCTTATGATATGGTTTTTGTTGTAAATCCATGTTTTACATGGATAAGTGGATGTCACCATAATACCTAATACCTAATATATGACTCACCCCACAATGTATTTGTAATATAGTGGTGAATAGTGTATTTCCTATGAATATAAATACTAGGAATCAAAGATGAATAAAACACACCAAGTAAGCCTTGATATACAAGCTTGGAAGAGTATTTCTATATTTTCTCTATCTCTCAATTCTCTCTACAATTCCCTAGTTTTATAACACGTTATCAACAAGAGTCTCTAAACAATCGAGGTTCTTTTGAGTTTCAATCTTGGTATCCCTCTTCCTTTACAAGTTTTGTTGTATTTCAATTCATTTGTTTCACTAACATCCATATATGATATATTATGAAGTTTATGCGGCTAATGCTTTCTTTGCACAAGGATACTCCAAAGTTGAAGGCAAGCATACATATGGATGCAATAAAAGAAATTTTTGTTTCTGGTGTTTGATTAGATCATAGCTTTCTAACCTTTTGTGCAGGATCTTCATCTTATATATATTATTCAATATAACATAAACATACTTATTGTTTTAAATATATATATATAATCTATGGTAATATCATATACCTATATATATATTAGGCGGCAGTTTTATCCCTACATTTATTTTATTTACAGTATCGTGTAAGTTTATTACTCATACATCGAATTTATTTTTATTTTAAAGTATGGAGTAGAATTAGTACCCATTCAAGTACATTTATTTTATCGCACATGTACTTTATTATTTAAAGTATGGTGCAAAATTAACGTCCATACAACAAGCAATTAATTTATGAATTTATTTTACCTTACTTTTATTTAAAGTGTGGTGTAGGTTTATCATCTATACAAGCAACATTTATTTTGTGAATTTATTTTACAAGTTCATTATGATGAATTGTAGATCATGCAAGAAATCAGAAAGTTCCTTGATGATGAAATAATATGAGAGCTAACAGTCTCTTTGGTATTATATTTGTGAAAAAGTGATCGGACATGGAGATCAGGTTGGAGTTGGCTCGCTTAAGGATGCGGAAATAGGAAGTCTGGAGCAGAAACGACCGGTCGTCAGTTCCGGAAACGACTGGTCGCCCAAACCCGAGAGCAACGAGTTAGTCCCCTAAAAACACTGCCAGGCTTCTTGCTAAAATGACCACTGCTGAATCTTTCCTTCTTTCATTGTCGGAGTCTTGCACAAAGTTACCGAAAAGGCATCGGAAAGGAGTGGCCCAAGATTTCTCACATCCCAAACATCACATTTGGCCCTGATCATGATGATGAGGATGAGGATGATGGGATTCTACAAGAAAAGGATGTGGCAATCTTATCCACCTCTTCTGGTAAGAGTCTTACTTTTTCATCTATCTATTTATTTATACATTCATTTACCATATTTAGTGTTCACTTATGTTTGGAATCATCATATAGTAGCTCAGCATGATATTCTTGAAGAAGCAATGTCGACGTAAGATATCCCATCTTCTCTAGGCTTCCCTCGCCTCATCATCTTGTACCATCAAAAGGTATACATTTCCTAGTCAAACTTACTTCCTTCTAGTTCGTATACGTAGTTCATAAAGTCATGCATTATTTTATCATGTGGCTTGGAACAGCTATTTCCTTAAAATATTTAGTTCTTTTTTCTATCACTTGTGTCAGATTTCAATGAATGATTGGTCAAATTCAAAATTATATACCAAGGAATTCAATCAGTTTACTTTGGGCACAAAAATGAAGGAAAATAAAGAATGCAGAAAGTGGCAATCTCAAAAATGGATGTGAATATTTCAGTTTTCTAAATATAGCTAGCTTTTTGCAATATGTTCCTGTTGTTTCTTGTGTGATTATTTCTTTCATCATTTGGAAGAAGGGTTTGAAATGACCTTTTACTTTTGGCTTCTATAAACATTCATATACTTTGTTACACTAAGACGCTGAAAACCAATTTACTCCAGGCCTATCTTCTGTTACTGTGAACTTATGAAATTGTTCTTTCATTGTACGGTCGAAACAAAGCGCACTTGTTCTTTCATCTGGCCTGGTATCAATTTCGGTTCCGGTCCCAAATTTGGCAGATTGGGATTGTGTTCTTGAATTCTTGACAAACTCATGGTAATATAGCTTAAAAACATAGCAAAATATTTATGTTTTATTACCATGCTAAACTGTCACAAGATGGATCGTATAGGTAGACTAGCTAGGAATCATTCATATATATTTGATATTGAAGAATTGGCTTCTGAATCTTCCGAACTTTTTCTGTTATGTTAATATGCTCCATCTCTCTCATCTACTATATAGACAATGTTCTAGTACAATTAAATTATAAATATTTAGCTCTAACATGCAACTTATGAATGCTTACAGGGCGGACGCACAAGGGAGCAAAGGGGGTCACTGACCTACTGTTTTCAGAAAATTTGTTCTCTGAGTTTTTGAACACCGGTCACCACCTCATCTCTGGAGCTTGAAGTAATCAGAGAGCTTTAGCGGTAAGCATCTCAATCTGCACCAACTCCTACAAGCCTCTTTGCTCCTCACAGAAAACATCGTAAAGAAGGTTGAATACTAAACAAGGAAGACTTTTGCAGAACCAATGGGAGCGCATGGAGCATGATGAATGTGGTTTGCCTTTATAAATGCAGAAAAAGCATGAAAGGAGAAGGCGAAAAACCAGTGCGAGAAATCAGAATGAGGAGCTACAGAGGTTACATTTAGCCTCTGAGATGAAAATACTGTTATGCAAGGAACATTACCCTCACAACAAGAGTTACAGGATAAGAAAAGAAAATCATGTCTTGTGTAAGTTGTGTTATAGTGCATTTATGCTATATGTTAAGCAATGTTTTATTATGTGGCTTGAAACAGCTTTTGCCTTAAAAAAATTCTATCACTTCGTGTTAAATTTCTATGAATAATTCTTCAAAATTCAAAATGAAATATCAAGGAATTGAAGAGTGCAATCGGTGTTCATTCAATAGAGTTGCATCAGACTTGTAGAAACAATTATCCTCTACTTTTCAGAGCATACCCTTGTTAATGATTGGCAATTCACATTCTATCATAAATTAATACGCATACAAGATTTTGAGACTGATTGACGAACAAAAACTGTATCTGTTATTTTCTTCCACTTTTTTACTCAGCAATCGGCATCTCGGGGAGATGAGAAAGGAGGGAAGATGTGAATTACAAACTAAACTGGACTAACAACTGAAATTTGCCAATTGATTAAACAACCCGTTACAATTCCCTTGGACAGACTTGGATTGAATGAATCACAATTGATTAAACCGAAGGTTTTGTAACTTGTAAAGCTCCCAGTGGAAGACATAGGCGGAAACCCTAGATTAGAGTAGATTAGATTTCAGAGTCATGAGACTATTCCTGCTACATTGTTGTATGTGGATAAATATTACAGAGTCATGCTTCAAATGGAAAAACCACAAAACTACCATAAAATCCCAAACTCTAAACAGGACCAAAACATACAAGAGCAGTAATGCCGTTTTCCCATGAAGAAAGTCCAGTGCTGCCTAAAACCAATAAAGCAAGATACAGAAATAAACACCAAGTCTTTCCTAGTCGCAAGGAATCTCTCAAGATTGCATGGCAGTGGTATCATCTTCATCACCTTCCTCACTGAACATATACTGACTCTGATACTCCATTAAGTACTGTGTTGATCTCTTTACGTCCAAAAACAGATGGTAAACTCGGTTAATATCCTCCATCTCCACAATATTTCCCTTCCGCTTTTGGCATGCCAAGGCAGAAGCTGTTATGAGATGGATAGCATATCTCAAGGATGCATCAACACCGATCTTGGTCAACAAATGCCTTGCCTCTTCAGACATCTCAACTTCTTCTTCTTGGCATCTGATGTCCAGAATCTTACGAATTTCATCCTCTGTATAAGGCTGGGTGGTAATGATAAGCAGGCGATCAAGGAGGTCAATAGGAATCCCGTGGGGGGATTTATAGTTTGTGCCTCTGATGGTAGTGATCCCTCTGTTGGTAGCAACAACTAATATTGGAGCCATCTCATTCTCCAAAGCACGATTCAAAAATGAAAAGCACTCAATGTCAAGCATATGCACCTCATCAATAAAGAGGACACCTGGCACAATCTCTGCCTTCCCTTCCTCCCTCCACTCTGCCACCTTTGTGTCAATCTGTTCTCTCACTTCCGAACGGATTTCACCAGTATCACCAGTAAATAGAGCCAGAAATCCCTGTGTTCTGGAAAAGTGATAAGGTATAATCAAAGAACTGTCATATTAATCCACAGCCAATACTGAGACTAACGTAGTGGCATTGCAATGGATGTTTTATACAGAAACCAAACAAGAATTACTAGAACAGTAAAATAATGAGGACTAAAAGAGGCACATTTATCATGACAATAACTGTAACACCAATCCAAAACAAATCAAGATTGATAAATATCTTGAAATTTCTAAAATAATTTGTAGATTTCTGTGCATGTGTTCACTCTCACCAAAACTCAACTGCAATTTCAGCTCCAAGCTTCATAAAATTCAGATTTAGGTGGAGTTAACCTTCCCTGAAGCTTCTTCAGGTTAGGTTTTTTCGAGTTTGGTTGGAAGGTGACCAAATGTAGGTTTTCCTAAGGGCGTTGTATTTAAATAAAAAAAATCATCTAATATATGCAGGCACCAATAGACGCAAACAGCTGGGGAATCAAAGCAAGTTTGCCTGGAAGGTGGCCCAATGATAATGTTGATATTAGACAAGGGCCTCTTGGAAAGGCTAAATCCGATGTCATTCCCCTCTTCTTCCCTTCTCATATGATTCATTAGTACACCAAACGGGAAAAATTATTATCATTTTTTTTAAATTAAAGAAATGTAAGAAACTCGGTAAGCAGATCCGTCGACAGAGAAAAATCTCACAACGGCCGGCCAGTAAACTTCCCAATTATTCAATTTGGCTACAGCCACTTTGGCAATTCAAGATCAAGGGTACTGCTTTTTATTTCAAACCCTTCTCTTGGTACATGTAGCTTCATACAATCCACATTTTTTCTTTTGAAAACAAAGTAACATATACACAGTTTTTGTGATTTGGTGGACCTACACAGTTGAAAATTAGAGAGGACGAGAAAAGCTTCTAACTTCTAACTTCTAAGCGATTGTAATCTCTACAGAGTTGAAAAAACTTCTACATGAATAGAATCTTACCGCACAATGTTGTAGAACTCAAATAAAGCCCACATAAATCAAAACTGAGGTACAAAACATCCAACTCAGACACAGAGTGGTAGTCCCCTACACCACGGATAACTACATTAGGTGAAAATGATTCATACCCCCTCCTCAACCATTGGCTCAATTCTTGAACTAATGAAAGAGCAAATAAACAACAGATAGAGCCAGTATGTGAAACGATAAAAATCTAAAATCCAATTACACTTACAATTCACCAGTGAATACCAAATTAGGAGGCTAATTGCAATTTTCCCAAGATTATTATATGATTACTAAAATTCATAAATTCATAATTTACAGCAGTATTCTCTCAATATTAGTAATTATGAACAACACAAGCTTGAAGCTGAGATTTTCAAGTACCTGCTGTTGATGACATCAATCTCATGAAGGGTGACACAATGCACGACCTCCTTGCGCTTCTGCAACTCTCCATCAGGGCACTGCATGAACTTGATGTGCGGTCCCATGGCGTCATAGTCCCTCGACCTCGAAAACGACCTACCAAGCTTTGTAATCTTCCCAGAAGCTTTATCAATAGCAATCACGTCCCCACTCTGCACCTTCTCCTTTCCCAAAGCCTCAATCATTTTGGCCCCCAAGTCATACACCGTCTCCATCTCCGTCGTCTTCAAAGTCAACTTCCCGGTCTTCGAAGCCGCCCCAGCCACCGCAGGCCGGTCAATCTGAACCTCCACAACCTCACCTTCGATGACCTCAGTCTCTTCCTTGATTCTAACCCCAATGGCCTTCCTAAAAGCTTGCATTAGGGCTTCGGTCTTGGACATCTCGAGAGAGAAGAGCTCGCTCCCGGCTAACATAGCGAAGGGGGTTTCGAGGCCGAGCGACTTGGCCATGCCCATGGCGATGGCGGTCTTTCCGGTTCCGGGTTGACCCGCCAACAGTACGGCCCGACCCGCGATCTTGCCTTCTTTGATCATCTGGAGAATTACGCCGGCGGCTTTTCGCGCCGAGGTCTGGCCCACCATGCCCTCGGAGACGTCACGGGCTTCTAGGGCAGAGTCGAGGCCGAGCCCTCGGATGTGGGAGTGTGCGCCTATGCGCTCTATACGGGTTAGGTCCCGACTCTCTGAGAGCTTTAGCTCCGCCATGGCTGAAAACTGAGAAGCTCTGTGAAGGGTTTTCTTCAGTGGCGAAGTGACGGAAAACTGGCGGCGGCGTGCGAAGAGTGAAGAAAGAGTGAAGGGTTCTTCTCTCTTCAATGGCTAATTTGTTTTGTTGTTGCCTCTCGTCTTTCTTTTAATCTCAGCCGTCTAAACCGTTAATATGCTTGAAAAGAGAATCGTGAGGCTGAAATATGCCACGTTAGCATGAGGTTTTTGGTCCCCGTATTCGTTCCCTCCATTTTCTAATAGTTGTTCTATTCGGAACATCATAAACCCTACTCAACTTGAAGACCCGATTTTCACCTTCTAAGAATCTAAACAGACAACTTCTATTTTACAGGGATGATCCTTTTTGCTTCTGTGAATGAAAAATCCAAATTTTTTTTTTCCAATATAAAACAAGGTAAGGGAAATTTTTAGATATTATGTGTTTTAACATACTATACAATCTTCACATTAAATCCAAGTTACCATGACCATCATGCTCGGAATGGAGGAAGTCGACAATTGGGGTACCTAGGATAGGGGAATTAAGGAATTGAATCAACTACTTCCCTAATTGATCCAATTCTTGGTTTTGAGGATATTGAATTATGAAACTTGTATAATTTTTTATTCCCCTTTTTTTTCGGTCGAAAGTATAAATTTTTTTCTTATGCATTAGTTTGGGAAAGTCAGAAATTGGAATCATTTCTAATACCATTTCCTGATAAATAAACATATTATGCATGGAGATTCAATATCTGGAGTTCCTTCAAGTAAAATCAAGTGCACCTATGGATCTTTAAAAGGTGAAAGAACTCAAACTTCTTTCACCTTGCTGCAAATACAACAGTCCCATCGAACTAACCATCTAAAACCATGATCACATTAGACACTGAAAATGAATGGCACAAGACACCATGATAAGAGAGCGAATATTGTCATATTACTCTAGCAGACGTTTCTTTGTCAACCATCAAAACTCAATTTGGCTCTCCTTCACAGAACATCCATCCATCAGATGAACACAAACACATATAAAGCATTGACACAGAAAGCAAATATATATTCTTTTCTGAATGAAGCAGAAAATCATATTTGTAACAAGATGTTGCAGTATAACTTGTTGAACGTAGCGATATTTCTCAAGAATGCAAGAAATGAAGGACTCAACAGCACTTGCATTTTGTGAAACCTAAGTGAGGCATGAGGCCAAATGTTCAGCAATTTCAGGGTATCGAAGAGAGTCTTCTGAAATTGCACAAATAGCAGCTTTGCAATATATGCTATGCAACCAACTTGGATTTCATCTTAGACTATTCAAGTGCATGAGTTTATTAAAAATGTCCAAACTTGAGAGATTCATTTACATAAAATAAAATGAGATGCATTCTAACTTTCAAAATTTAGAAGAAATAAACATGTGTAGAAGGCCATAGCCGATGTAGAATTTACCCCAAAAAAAGGTTCCTTTTACTTACTTTAATTTCTAAAACTACATGTAATGAAGCAAGAACAGTACCTTACCAGAATGTTGATTAACACATAAATTAAGCCAGGTTTCTCTGTCCATTGTCTTCAGTGTCACCAA